CTAATTTCACTATGAGGAAGTAACTTGACTTGGATTTGATCTAGAGGTTTACGGGGGTTGTCGTCACTACTCCCTATTTCACTATGAGGAAGTAAATTGACTTGGATTTGATCTAGGTGTTTACGGGGGTTGTCGTCGATAAAGCAGAAGACGCACATGCTTCCTATACACCTTGACCCAGTTGTTCAAAAGGGGATTAGCTTAATCAGTGATTAGCGCAAATTTTAATTTTCATGTATCTTTAAAACAGAACAGTTGAATTAGTTACAACTTTTCAGATATCAAATATTTAGTAGTGTAATGTACAGGCACAATTGTGAGGTTTTACCTTGTATATTGCCGGAATTATTAAAGATTGAAAAATGTCGTTAAAAAGTGTTAACCTAACCACCTTTTGAACAACTGGGTCCTGGTCTTATATAAATGTTTCTTTTCTTTTCTTTTCTTTTTTCATTTCAAATAAAGGTACTTTTAACATTTTGGCTACGTCTATCATATTGATAGCTGTATAAGTACCTACCCACACGTAGAAAGTGGCGGCTCCCTGACTGGTTGTTTTGATGTCAGCCAGGTCGGTCTTCCCAATCATCTTCTTTGCTCCAAGGGCTACATCTAACGGTAGAGTATTGATGTCGAATTCATTGATCCGCCGTTTGAGGGACTCTTTACCCGTTCGACCGATAATAGCCTGAACATTCTTCCATTGCTGTGGAGACAAGCAGGGACACGTCTTAGATTCAAAATCTATTCAGACAGTAAATGTTTTACAGGCCATAAGACACATATCACATGCTAAAGGATACATACACCAAATGATATGGAGGCTATTTAACCAGTAGTCAGAAAAAAAGATTGTTCTTTATCCTTTTTGTTTAAATTCGTCACAGTATCAATACTTTAGGATATTCTACAACAAAATATATGGAAGCTTTTCAAACAGTGGCGATTCTCAGTGATGTTTAGCCAACTAATTGTCAGAAATGGGCTAAATAAATTGGAATAAATCGTTCCTTATCCTTTTGTTTGTATTAATTTGCAATAATTTTCTTTTGCATACAATGTCAAATCTTAAGGATATTCTACGTTATAACAATCGGGCTTCAGTGAAAATAAACATGATATTGTAATTATATTTGTCCTATTTTTGAATCCACAATGTAATTATCGAAATGAAAGCCTACTCAAAACAGGGGACACAGTCGTTTGCCCATACCTTTGTCTCATCCTCGAAGTTGCCAAGCAACAAAAGTGTTGCCTTCATCACGTTGTGTATTTCGGGAAGTGGACTGGAGAAAGAACGGATTTCTGCTATGGTAGGCTGCTCCAGAGCCATGACCGCGTGAAGAAGTTCTTGTATCTTCCTCAGTCTGGCAATAAGGTCCTTAGCCATTCTCATCTCTTGTGGCATGTAGCGCTCGTACTTCTTAGTTTCCACCAGATCAACAGAATTCTCGAGCGGTTCAAGTTTCTTTTCCTCTATCGCCGACTCAAGCTCTATAGAAACGAACAAAATAATGTAAGGGCATCAATACTACATATCATCACAATTCAATAATTGTAGAATTTGAAAATAAAAGTGGAAGGCAATTAAGAAGAGTTAATTGTTAATCTATGAATGCATTATAGCTCAATTTTTAAACGTTTATAAAACAACGTTCACGATCTCGTCCATATGTCTGTCTAGTATATGTACCTTTTACACTGCCAAGGTGTTGAGACGCTTTACAAATTTTACGATGCCTAACTATAAAGTAGGTCTGAGTTTATGGTATGTTTTAATGGATGTGTTACAAGTGCAGGAAGGTCCCATGTTGTGTTACACCCGATTAGTTTTACATTATCTACGTGACTGGCCATGCGTGCGTTGATATCCTCCGTCACAGTAAGTGATATCGCATTACACTATAACTGTGTGAGTGCTAATGTTAATGATTTTAAAGTGGAAATTTCAGGCTGTGGACATTTTTAGCTCATTAAAGTTTATTTAATAAACGCGTAAATATTAAAGTGCAAACATATAATTAAAACGCTAAGAAATCGTTATTGTAATTAAGATTAAAGTTTTAAAACTTAACACAGCGACATTTGCACTTGTACTTGGCGGTTCATAGCTTTCAGCAGCACGACCGATAGGGTTATTATGGGATATCCAAATAAATGTGTACTTTAACAAATACAAAGTTTGATCGGCGTCGGAAGTATATTGCTTACGTTTACGAACTTCCTCTATATCTCGGAACAGGGAATCGTCGACTACTTCCACCTCGGAACTGATGACTAGATAATTACATATGTTCTTTGTGATCGTCCCGTACGACGGGTCATCTATATGCGCAAAGATGCACAGTGCACTTTCCTCGCCAGGGGGCGCGCTAGCCTCAATGGTATACTCTTCATCGTCCTCTTGGATGCCCTCTTCCTCCATGGGGACATCATCTAATGCTTTGTTCATTCCCACGATCTTGTACGAGATGTTCAGACCTGCAGCCGCCCGATTCAGTTTCTCAAACGACACTTCTACATAACCACCCTCTGAGAAAACAATGGCATTAGGATCAGTGGTGGCGTCGAGGCCAGATTCCTTCAAAGTCTTACCTGGACCCCAACCGGCGGCACAGCACTTCGGAAAGGAAGTGTTGCCTTCCGGTATGCCGTTCACTTTTATTTTGTAAATTGCCACCCAATCAAAATCGTATCCAGGATCTTTTTTCCTGGAATCTTTGCCGACTATTTCTAGTTTGTACTCGCCGATTTTCGGGAAACGGCAACGAACAGCAACTGAACTGTCGTTTGGATAATAAACAAAGTCGTGTTGAGAAGTCTTCTCTTTTATATGTTTCCACTTGTCGTCGACCATGGAGAACAGTAAACACATGAACTCAAATTCATGTGCCTTTTCTTGAGGCAGTCCAAACAGAATTTCAATTTCGCCATTGTCTGTCACGATTTCACATTTCTGATGAGAAAGAGCCCTCATTTCAAGTTCGAAGAAACGTTCTTTTAAATATGCCTTCTTTTCGAACTGTTTGATGCTGACTTTCGTTTCAAGTAACTGCCATTTTGATTCCTCGGGAAAATGGGAGTATATCAACTGTTCGGGGTCGGGGAGAAAGAATGCTTCATCGACGCAAAATTTAGCAGACTCGTTTTGGTTTACATCACCAGAGACTGCGCATGCGCCCCAGTAGGCATTGACGAGTCTCCAAACATTGTCTACCAGGACTGCGTTCCATTCGCCGTACAATATGTCCTTATTGTCTTTGACCAATTGACCAATAGTATACGTACTGCCCTTCAGACAACCATGAACGACCACACAGCTCAGCTTAGCATGTCTGCAGGAAATAATCAGAAAGAAATGCAATGTTAAAAGCAAATAAATAATCGATAAACCCCCAATGGAAATCAATATGTTGGGGATAAGTTGGTGTGGTTGGGTTTTAGGATTTAGTCGGGTATTTTTTTAAAAGGAAAGGACATGTCAGAACTTCAAATGGCGGTCATGGAAAAGATAATAATGCCAAATCAGGTTTTAAGAAGATGAAAAAAGAATTCAGAATGTATAGACGAATACATTAAAAAGCGTCCAAATGGAATTTGATAATCCAGAAATTTCCTTTTGAAATTTTGTTTTCCTGGACTATAAAACTATTAAGTGGCAATTCAGTGCAGCGTAATAAATAAGGATCCCCTGTAACAGGTAATAAGAGGCCTACCTGCACATCAGACTAAGTAGCTGCGCATAGTTTCCCTTTTTGTTCTTCAGTCGGCTCAGGTAGTAGGGAACACACCCCTCCCTTATTGGTGGGAGGGGCATCTTTATCTGGTTCAGGTTTTGTGACGTCAGCCAGGTATAAATCGACCTAATTCTACCCAGGTCGTCAGTACAGGGCTCCACAAGGTAAGATACTAAGTTGGCCATGGATCCTTTCTGTAAGTCGCTCGGGACCTAGTGGATATCAGAGGTGTCAATAGCTGTTTAATTTGTAACGTTTATTGTAAAAATAGAGATTATAAAGCGACAAACAGCAAATCAAAGAAGATACTAAATCTCACATTAATCAACCAATTAATACCAATTCAGAGGAGTTACATAGGACTTAGCATAACGGAATTGTCGCTCCCAGTACAAATCAGGCATCAGGGCCTTCTGCAAGGGCGTGTAATCCAGCTTTCCGTCGAAGAGGACATATTGATACGGTCAGTGACATTAGTTTTATCATTGATGTTTTACCCTATGGAGAACATGTGTTACATTTCAATACTATTGTCAAAGCAGAGAACAGAGTAGGAAGGAAATTTTGTTTGTTTTAGGGAACCAAACTTAATCTGAGAAACGATTTGATAACAGGCATGGTATTCAAGGTATTCAAGTTCACGTTACTTTAAGGCAACAAGTAAACAACTATGGTCTGGATATCTGTAAAACTACAATCACTAATCATGAAACTGTTACTTATATAAACCAGTTATTTTGGTATGCCATCCTTCCATTTCGGTCGTATTTCTACCTGACCAATATTCAACTAAATACATGTTCATGAATTCCTTTTCAAGAGCAAAGTTTTGTGGTACTGCTTCAACAACGTTGTGTGGTACTGCTTCCACAACGTTGTGTGGTACTGCTTCAACACCAACTTGTCTTACATGATCTACGTACTTTCATTGCCCGCTCGTCTATGTGTTTGTACATCAACAGATCGAAGATCTCGCTTTTCCTCGTGTGTGGCACGTGGGGTGGCGGGAGAGTTTCCAGCGGCGTTTTATCAATGACGTACATATGATGGGTCTCTGATAATTCGCATTTCCGGCTAAACTTGTATGTTGCATACTGGATAGGATTGAGGGTGTCCTTTTCCTACAGAATAACAAGAAAACAAATTATCATTAAAGTAAAGAAATCATCTAAATAGGCGTAAACCAGAAATCACAAGATGACGTTAGTCTTAGCACTTATTTTATATATGGGTACAGTTAGTTCTTAACATAAATACCGCTTCTTAGTTTGCGTGAAAACCGATACGTAATTTTATGTGAATAATGTATTGCATATCTAAACAGGTCTATGATCAGTCTGTGTGTTTTCGTGTTCCTGTTGGGAATAACGTCACAATACCTCATTTAGATATTAGTGCACTTGCCAGTTCGGGCCGCCGCGTCCATCTTAAGCACAGCTGGCGAAAAAAAAGTTCACAATCATTCATTCAAAATTTCAAATACTAAACTGAATTCTTTATTTGTCCGCAAGATGGCGAGTATGCACGCGACTAATTTGTTGGTAGACTCTCATTCTTACTGAATTCGATACGTCAGTCTGATCAGATATTGATTTTATCGATTTACATGTTATCGAAAGAGAACAATGGTGTTTATTAAAAAATGAATTTCTCAATCGCGTTCGGCGGGCCATTACGGTATGTGGCAGAATTGGCAGGTCTAGCCACACAAATACATTATTGTCTTTTTAATCTATATGAATGTACTGCAAAATATTTGGAATATATTTTTCAATAGGACAATTAAAGTTATTTCTACTTATGAGAGATGTGATTTGGTGGGAAAGTGGTCTGGCGTGTCCGAATCACCAATAAGGTATGTGTTTCCTACTGGAGGTCATTTTATAACACACAGAACTAAATTACTTGTTTAGTATTAAACTGTTTGCACATGCAAGTAGAAAACTAAATTAAAATCTACAGACAGAGGTATGGACCAGGATCAAAGAAATGTAAGGAGCTGGTACACAGTATAGCTGTGTAGTTATATCGCCTTATAGAGGATCTGTTGTTAGCCTGCTTTCCTGGAGGAGACCAGCAGAACGAACTCTAAACTCGACCACAAGCTGTTAACGAAGGCTCAACATTTGTTTGTTAGTTTATAAGTGCAGATTCAGTTAAAACCATCAGGTTGTTTTAATAGACATTTGTTTGTTAGTTTATAAGTATAGATTCATTTAAAACCATCAGGTTGTTTTAATGGACATTTGTTTGTTAGTTTATAAGTGTAGATTCAGTTCAAACCATTAGATTGTTTGAATAGACATTTGTTTGTTAGTTTATAAGGGGAGATTCAGTTCAAACCATCAGGTTGTTTTAATAGACATTCGTTTGTTAGTTTATAAGTATAGATTCATTTAAAACCATCAGGTTGTTTTAATGGACATTTGTTTGTTAGTTTATAAGTGGAGATTCAGTTCAAACCATCAGGTTGTTTTAATGGACATTTGTTTGTAAGTTTATAAGTGTAGATTCAGCTCAAACCATTAGATTGTTTGAATAGACATTTGTTTGTTAGTTTATAAGTGTAGATTCAGTTAAAACCATCAGGTTGTTTCAATGGACATTTGTTTGTTAGTTTATAAGTGTAGATTCAGTTCAAACCATTAGATTGTTTTAATAGACATTTGTTTGTTAGTTTATAAGTGTAGATTCAGTTCAAACCATCAGGTTATTTTAATAATTCAGTTCAAACCATCAGGTTGTTTTAATAGACATTTGTTTGTTAGTTTATAAGTGTAGATTCAGCTCAAACCATCAGGTTGTTTCAATGGACATTTGTTTGTTAGTTTATAAGTGTAGCTTCAGTTCAAACCATTATATTGTTATAATAGACATTTGTTTGTTAGTTTATGAGTGTAGATTCAGTTCATACCATCAGGTTATTTTAATAATTCAGTTCAAACCATCAGGTTGTTTTAATAGACATTTGTTTGTTAGTTTATAAGTGTAGATTCAGTTCAAACCATTAGATTGTTTTAATAGACATTTGTTTGTTAGTTTATAAGTGTAGATTCAGTTCAAACCATCAGGTTGTTTTAATAGACATATGAAGATTCATTGAGCAACTGCTATTTCTATTACTGTACTATTTACATGTTGGTCCAGTTTGTGCGTTTATAAGGTGGCAGACACTAATCCCCCGTGGTTGTCTGTGGTTTTCAGTTTAGCGGTTTATATCTCTGAAGCTATCCTTTTAGATAGCATATCGGTGTATGTTAAGCTTTACGAAATCGTCTGGGATCCTTTTGGGACAATTTGAAATAATAGGTTTTGTTATAAATATCGATTTTAAATATATCAGAATTCTGCTTTTTTGCATTTCTTTAACAGAATTCCGAAAGATCAGTAATAATAAGCACTCTTAATTACCAAAAGTATTATTCTTATAAATGGAAAGGCTACATAAATTACACAAGCAAGTCGGTTGTGCTCCATAATAAAGACCGAAAAAATCCATTTCTAAACCATCTAAATACTCCATTTCATATCAGATACACATGTTTTATATGAGATACACATGGTTTATATCAGATACACATGGTTTATATCAGATACACATGGTTTATATCAGATACACATGGTTTATATCAGATATACAGGTTTTATATCAGATACACAGGTTTTATATCAGATACACATGTTTTATATCAGATACACATTGTTTATATCAGATACACAGGTTTTATATGAGATACACATGTTTTATATCAGATACACATGTTTTATATCAGATACACATGTTTTATATCAGATACACATGGTTTATATCAGATACACAGGTTTTATATCAGATACACATGTTTTATATCAGATACACATGTTTTATATCAGATACACATGTTTTATATCAGATACACAGGTTTTATATCAGATACACATGTTTTATATCAGATACACATGTTTTATATCAGATACACATGGTTTATATCAGATATACAGGTTTTATATCAGATACACAGGTTTTATATCAGATACACATGTTTTATATCAGATACACATTGTTTATATCAGATACACAGGTTTTATATGAGATACACATGTTTTATATCAGATACACATGTTTTATATCAGATACACATGTTTTATATCAGATACACATGGTTTATATCAGATACACAGGTTTTATATCAGATACACATGTTTTATATCAGATACACATGTTTTATATCAGATACACATGTTTTATATCAGATACACATGGTTTATATCAGATACACATGTTTTATATCAGATACACATGTTTTATATCAGATACACATGGTTTATATCAGATATACAGGTTTTATATCAGATACACAGGTTTTATATCAGATACACATGTTTTATATCAGATACACATTGTTTATATCAGATACACAGGTTTTATTTGAGATACACATGTTTTATATCAGATACACATGTTTTATATCAGATACACATTGGTTATATCAGATACACATGGGTTATATCAGATACACAGGCTTTATATCAGATACACATGGCTTATATCAGATACACATTGGTTATATCAGATACACATGGCTTATATCAGATACACATGGCTTATATCAGATACACAGGTTTTATATCAGATACACATGTTTTATATGTTGGCATTTAGTTTGCTATTCATCGTTGTGTTGTTGTTGCTTGTTTCCTAAACTGTTATACAGTGTTATTTCGATACTATTGTCCAAGTCTCAGTGCTAACTGGTTAGTGCCGTACTTCCGTGTATTACTTACAATTAGCGTTTATCATTGTCTGTGGACGACATCACGTCACAATTAGCGTCTTTTTTTTTTTTTTCTTAATGGAATTCCTCGCCGTAAAATTTTCCATACAAAGATTTGCTGAAGCTGGGAAAATTTCATGAAACGAAGATTTGTCCTTACCTGAAACTAACGAGATTTCAAGTAAAGGAAAGTTAGTGATGCTGGAACCAAACCTGTTCAAGGTGTTTTCGTTACCGTACTCATCCACAGCCTGTGGTTATCAGCCTAATTTTATTATGTTCTGAACTGGAATATAAATAGGTGGCATGCGTTTGCCATTTTCTTGTAGATGGTCATATACGTGTCCATAATAAAACGTACTTTCTTACTTGACCTATCAAACTACGATACATATCCTGTCTCAAATTAGCAAGTACGTAAACGGTAGGCTTTTTATGAGAAATACATATACTTTTTTCAATATTTATCATTGATTAAGAAGGTCAAAATAAGCTAAGAGTGGAATGGATGGCGATGGAATGTAAGCTCGCGTTCGTAACGACCAGTTAACCTCATCAAACAATCACAACGGGTGTGCGTCGTCAAATTACACATCGATGTGGATCAACATGATGTGAAATTGAAACCCGAGATAACTTCTCCAGGTGATTGTGTATGGGTATATTAGGGGCTGTGTGGGAGACGGGTGGTAGGACGGTGGTACTGTTGTGGTCACGCGTCCTCGATTAGAGTACGGCAGTATAGCTGTACTTTTACCAGCATTAGTTGACACTTTCTCACGCAGAATCCACGGAATGTAAAAACATAGTTTCTTATAAGTGAAATGATTAGAGGACTTGTTCTGAGTCTTATAACAAGAAAATTGTTTGGAGGTCTTGTTCATAGTCTTATAACAAGTACATTGTTAAGAGGACTTGTTCTGAGTCTTATAACAAGCAAATTGTTTAGAGGACTTGTTCTGAGTCTTATAACAAGTAAAACGTTTAGAGGACTTGTTCTGAGTCTTATAACAAGTAAATTGTTAGGGGGACTTGGTCTGAGTCTTATAACAAGTAAAATGTTTATAGGACTTCTTCCGAGTTTTCACTGTTGTATATTCTTATGTTTTATTTTACTACAAAGCGTACACGTAACAGTGAGAAAAGGAATTTGTTGTCTGTAATACTATTGAATTCGAAATGCGATATCGTCAGAAAAGCTTCATGATCTTGCTACAAAACGGTTTATTGTTTAAACATAATTTATTGATACAAAAGGATTGAGTACAAGTTATTAAACTTATATGAAGCCTTCTCCAACACATGTTACAAACATTTATATTAACAATTCGAAGATGGCAGACTTTCAACATCGTGATAACAAGTAT